AATGCAATTTTACACTATGAAAACTATCACTCCTGTGCTCCAAGAAATGCTATTCCAAAGTATTGTATATAATTTTAAAACATTATTTTTATTCTGTACTATTTCTGACATACAAACAGAAAATTTGTTTCTTCTCAATTGAGTCAAGTGTGAATTAGATTTGAACTTCATTCTGCTATTCACTGCTGTTGGCAGAAACTTCTAACAACTTTGCCCTGACTTATTTCTTCTTTATCTTATTTCTTAAAAATGCTACAAAAGAATCAATGCCTGTTTTGAATTATGCTTAGTATATGTCATTTGAGTATCATCACCACTACTTTTCCTTGACATCAGCATCTATGATGCTATAACTCTTCCTATAGAACACTTATTATATCTACAGAAAGAGCTGTAGAGTGTTTTATTAATCTTTTTAATTCTTGATTTATTCAACTGTGAGAGAAATAGCAAACATGACAAAACTCATGCGCGTGCACACATACACACTCACACTCACACATACATACACATTTGGTATGATTATGCTCTTTTAGGAAGACTTTGTTCTTTGAAGGGGAAAAACAGTCATGGTTGAAATACTTTCACTTTACCACTGAAGGCCTAGATATTGTAGTTTGTATTAAAGCATCATGAGACTTGGTATAGTTTCTTCTGGATAGATTTACAATTTATATCCTGGTAACACTAAAGAAAGATTATTACAATGGATATCTATTTGAAAACTATTGCAGAGTTTGACTATTATAATGTCAGTGTTGAAATAATACAGCTGAACTAAAATTAACCAATTTCCAGTTTCAGTTTCCAAGGATAATTCAAACTCTTTCCTTTCAAGTCCTGTCTTGCTCAGATCCATGGTACCTGAAAGAAACACATTCCCATATTGTATCTTCCCATGACTTGGGGTCATTGGTGGAACTCTTCTTTGACTGTCCAGCATCTGAGGAGATGTGAGCAGCAACTGAAGCAGAGGACTTTTTCCACTGCTTATATTTCTGTTGCTCTGTTCCAAGAAACAGATATTTGGCATTGAAGATGTTCTCATTCATCCAGGCTTCTGGAAGTACAGTTTCTTAGACTATTTTAACTATTGTTTCATTGCTGTTTGAAATGCTCTATATTAGGGAATTGCAATGTGGCCCATTCTAAGAGGGTACTTGACCAAAGACATTGTCCTCAGTCTTCCAACATTTCCAAGACTCTCAGAGCCAAGTTGCCACAGTTTTCTTTTGTTCTTATCACAACCACTATGAAACACCAAAACAGATACCACCAGTGGAACTGCCCCCATTTTCCTATGCTTCTTTTCATGGTGGAAAGATTAAAGAACAAGCATAACTACCTGCAGAATAAAAACACCCAAACACTGCCATGGTTTAGAACTTGCAGATAAGGAACATGCCCTGAAGGGAGTATACTTGATGAGTTTTCTCAAATGGGAAATTGATTCACTTTCCTAACATTTCACATAGAAAATCAAGGATCTTTCCATGCTTACAATATATTCAGCATTTTTAGTGCTTTTTTAAGTGGGAAATGGGGGTTGTAGTTTAATAGACAGCGAATTGAAATGTTGGCTTATTTATGAAAGCTTTCAAATAATTGTACAAAGTATTAAATCTTTCTTTTTCTTTCTTTTTCCCTTTTTCTTTTGTTTTCTTTTTTCATGTTTAGGAGTGCGCTTAGACAGAGTACGTGGTGGTCGCCAGAAGTACAAGCGCAGAATAGATGCAGAAAATAGTCCATACCTGAATCCTCAACTAGTCCAGCCAGCTAAAAAGCCATGTAAGTACCTAGTAAGGCAGTGTAACCTTTGATGTCATCAATCAATGAAAGCATAGGAACAAAATAGCATACTGTCTTGAATAAATGATTTTGTCTACCATTTTTATCACCTTGTTCCTTTTTCAGAATAACTGAAGAAAGTACGCTTTGAGACTAAGAGTTTGATAATGCCCAATTTATGCTATACAAATTTTACACTTCCAGGTGATCTTTATTTTCACTGGTACATAAAATGGGTTGTGCTAGGATCATTAGTTCATTGAAGCTTCTAGTCTCAGATTTTACAAGAATGAAATGTTGTAGTTTTCACTAACTAGATGAATTTGACTGCTCAACCTCTCAATGAAAATGCATTAGGAGCCTCATTAATTTATAGCAATAGAAGATTGAAATGCTACCTGTATTTCAATAAAATAGCAATGTGCTACAACTATAAAATACATTAAGGTAAGGTTTACGTATTTGTGTGTGTAGTTAAAACAGGTATGAGTTTTCTTACATGAGTTTTCTTACATACTTAAAAATCAAGATATAAACTAAAAATTAAAGATTTTGCAATTTGTACAAATTCATGCATGCTAATTCCCTAAAGAAAATATAATAACACTCCATGATATAAAAATCAATTGCATATCCTGTCCAATGATGAATTGGCAATAAATGCAAATTCTTTCATATGTTATTTGCAAGCTGGCTGCCACTAAGTAATGGCATAAACCACTGGGGTACAAATGCCCTATTCGAGATAAATGTAATAAAAGGGCTTTAAAAGCTGCACTGAAGGCCCTTACCTGGTTGTGACAAAAAGCAGTATGTTGTTTTTCACCTGCCATTCCCCAGTGCTGGGCTCTGCTGGATACAATACGCATGAGCCATATGGAGATCTGGAAAGCAAATAAATAGGTTCTGAACTGCAAGTGAAAGGGCATTTTAGCGATGTCAGAGGAAAAACAAACCAGTTTTACATAAAATTAAGGCTTAAGTGAACATATGGCATCGTTTCATTTTGCCTTTCCAAAAATCATTATGCTGATTATACTTTCAATTGTCCAATCTGGCATCTTCCATACAGTCCACATAAGCTGTTCTGCCCCTCTGTAAATACAATATAAGGTTGCATTAAGCAGATTTTGTGCATTATAATAAAAACTTTCTGATAATACAATAAAATTCAATGAACTCTAGTGTTTCATTTCATTAGAGGTTTAGATTTTCTGGATGCCCAGATTGCCAGCTTTTTATTTATTTTATTTTGTGCCATTGAGTTGAATTGCTGACAGCTCGGCCCATGCACACGCAATTAAGCCTATTTAGCATAGACTTTGGTTAATGCTGCCGGATAGAAAATGTAGGAGATTGAAAGAGTGTAATACAGAAGTGAGAAGTCCTGAGAAAGGCATACTGCAATGAACGGGCACTGTCTAAAGAACGCTACCATGCTTTTTGACAACTCCTATTAATTTCAAATGGTATCTTCTCTATAGGTCAGTTTGAATTAACAGAGAAGCACTGTGTATATGTAAGAAAATAACTAGAACATTTTAATGTGCTACACAGATAAGCCAGTTTACAGCTTTTCACATAACATTGTAAAGGATTCCTGATTCTCTCCCCCCTCCCTCTTTGTAATGGAATAGAAACACAACTTTTGGGGAATCAATTTCTTGCAAATATAACAAGGAAACAGTAAAATGGCTTTTAAGAAATAAGTAGAGAGATTTTTTGGGATTCTGGCAGATTTTTTATTTTTTTTTGCTAATTTTGTTATAGAAGGTAGGTAGATAAGGGTAAAGGAGTCCCTGGGATTTTACCCTGCTAGTCATTGCCGACTACAGGTACTCATCTCTGTTTCAAGGCCATTGAGCCAGTGCTGTCCAGAGGTATTTCTGCACAGTCATTTGGTTATTGTGGAGTACTGTTATCTTCCCGCCAAAGAGATACCTATTTATCTATCCACATTTGCATCCTTTCAAACTATTAGGTGGGCAGGAGGTGGGGTGAGGATAAGAGCTCACCCTTTTTACAGGGCGCTCAGGTCTTGAACCTGGGCTGCCAGCTTTCCAGCTGACAAGCCCAGCATCTTAACCACTGAGCCACCATGCCAACAGAAGGTAGGGCAAACTATTAAAAAGCAATATTGGATAATAGGCCAATCAGTTATGGTAATAACAATATCTCCATTGGTATGTATGTTTTTATGTATTGTCTGTTTATTAAATTTGTTTGCTGTCCATCTCACCACCATTTTTTCCCAATCAAAATTTAACACTATGATGGAAAACTCTTTATTGGTTTTCAAAAACTGCTGAAATGCTCATCATCTGTAGATATAAATATTCACCATTAATCAGTTTTGAACATTAGAACATAGTGGGGTGGCGTGGAATATTTATTTTGTTGCCAGAGTTCCTGCAAGTTTGAGACATAAGAAAATGTAGCTCCTAGGCTTTTTAAATAATATAATTAAAACCAGTTTTTAATTGTCTGTTCTGTAAATGTGAGTATAGGATCTGCCTTAGGTAGAATATATCCTCAGTTTTAACACAGCCCTTTTCCCATTACCTCCCCCACATCAACAGTATTCACAAGTGATGCATTACAGGCTTAGTGTTCCTCTTGTCATTTCAAAGAAGCCCTTATTAATAATAATAAAGCATGCTTGATGCAATGCCTTGCAATTGGCTTTTGCGTTTGTTTTATGAAGGACTGACATACCTCACCTTTCTGACATTCACATTTGTAAAAAGCTGGAGACAAATAGATCAGAACTCCAGAATAAATTACACAACGGAGCATTTAAAAAAACCTTTTTCGAATGAGCTTTGTTACTTTTTTGGAGAAAAAACTGAGCTGCAATTTCTATACATAGTTAAGCTTTACTGCTTGGTTAAATCAGTTAAATGGTTGGAGAAGTGAGCCACCTTTGCTTAAATTGATTCTTTCTAATTGATAAAAATGGAAAGATGGTCATAGTTAGCGTGAAATGCTGAACATAACCAGCAATGGCATCTTGTTTTCACCAAGTTGTGAATGTTTTCAATACATGGAATTTATTATAGTGGTTACATATTTAAATATATTTGTTATAAACTTTCAAATTTCAAAGAGTAGAATTCAAAGTGTGCGAGAAATTATAGTTTATTTTCCTCCAGGTTTTCTCAACTTGATCAAGCAGGAGATTAGAGCTCATGTGCATGTTCGCTCAACCAGTATTGTGCATACATGAATTTATGTATTTCAATGACTTTTAGAAGGGTTTTATTTGATGTTTTTTCCTGAGGATCTTAAATGTATTATCTATTCATAAAGTTATACACTCTCCCCTTTCCCTCTTTAAGCTGAAAAGTATAACATTTATCTTTATAAAATATTACCATGAGAACATTTTCCAGAAACTGCAGTGTTCCTTTTAAAATCAAATATTACAAGATATGAATAACAGAATAAAAAAGTTGGAAGGGACCTTGGTAATCTTCTAGTCCAACCCCCTGCTAAACAGAAAACCCAGATGACTGTCCAATCTCTTCTTAAAAACTTCCAGTGTTGAAGTACTCACAGCCTCTGGAAACAAGTTGTTCCACTATTAATTGATCTAACTGTCAGTAAATTTCTCCTTAGTTCTAGGTTGCTTCTCTCCTTGATTAGTTTCCATCCATTGCTTCTTGTCCTGCCTTTAGATGCTTTGGAGAATAGAGTGACCCCCCTCTTCTTTGTGTCAGCCCCTTAAATATTGGAACATTGCTATCAAATCACCCCTAGTCATTCTTTTCATTAAGCTAGACATACTGTCAAGGTTCTGACTAATGAACCCAACTAAGCAAGCAGACGATCCAATCTCTTAATGCAAAACTTTATTGAGTACATCATTTCGGCACAGATGAAAGCAAAATCATCTCTGGTTATTTCCCATGCAAATCACTATAATTGAAGTATAGAATTCTCCTTCCCATTAGTGCAGGTCACATGGTCCAATCAAGTGTTAAAATATTGTGGGTTTGCAAACACCTGCTGAAACATCCTTGTTTCAAAGAATTTTGAAGTTAGCTGATCACATTATTAGCCATGAGTTTCTGAAATATTATAATTATAACAACTTCCATTACCTTTTCCTGATCAAATATGGGAAGTGCTGAATGAATGGGGTGGACTGGTTGAATGGGCCCAACAACCATGAAATATTATGAGACAAAAGAGATTGGAGCCAGGTTATGCAGAGAAAACAGTAACTGGGGATGGGTATGTGGCAATTGTTAAAACTGGAAATCTGGCAGGCAATCTGATGGGTGAATTGAAGTGGAGCTTCAGTTGAAGGTAAAAAAAAGGGGGTAAAAAACCATGGAAAAGAAAGAATGATGAGGAAGTGGCAGTGTAGAGTGCAGAATTGAAGATGTTCAAGAGGAGAGAATGGGAAACCACATCTGGAACTTTTCAGAGAACATGATTAGGAGAAGGAAAAATAAATGAAAGAAGATAGAATTGGTAGGTTGTCCTGACATAGGAAGATATAAAGGAAATGGTGGTAATGAAAAAGAAGAGCTTAGGAAGTACCTATTATAAAAGTAAAGAAATGAATTATTGGGAGAAACTGTGGCTGTTTCTCTTAGATATTGAGGTATGGGACCTATGCAGAGTATGAGACTTGTCTTCTGCATTGAGTCACCAGGAAAGAGGTGACTACTTCTGGAATTACATGGATGGAAGGAGCTCCAGTTCAGGATGGCAGAAGTTAGAGAGGCAAGTGAAAACAAACATGGAATTGGGTGAAATACTCCTCTGCCTGGGAGAGAGCCAAGAAGAGAGAAACATTGTACCTCCTAGAATAAGGAAACTTGGGAAAGTGGTTCTAGGAGACAAAATTGGGAAGAGGTCATCCCTATTCTCAGGAGTGAGAGACCTGAGGTGAGGGAGGGGTGAAAGATGGCCTGGTGGTAAGAATGCCTAGTTGTAGGAGATGGCTTCTGGTCTTAGTAGTAAATAGACCAAGTAGTCTATCTATCTAGTAACATCATTAGAGAGTTTAAATACTGGTTTGAATGGCCAGGGGAACTAATGGGGATAGAGAATGTGGTGAAAAAATCAAGTACAAAAGTAGAATAGAATGAAGCAGGAATTGAACCACTGAGGAATTTCACAAACAGTAATCCCTTGGCATCATCTTCTGGAACTGGCTTTAATTTACTATATATTAAAAGAAAATAACAATGCAAGAAACCAGACAAACAAAATACAAAAAACAAAACCAAAAGAAATCCAACTAAATAAACTAAAAAAAATAATGAAATCATCCAAAGCACACTGAAGCCAAAAAGCTATCCAAGTAGGAGTGGAACCAACAGACTACAGTTTTCCCACATCTAAACTTAGACAACCTATCCAAATGAATACTATGGTTGTTGGTACTGAAAGCTGTTGAGACATAGACCACATTCTCCTTGTTTTGTTTCCCAACACTGATCATCCCATAGGATGACCAAAATGGTGGCTTGACTAATCATTGGGACTGGCCAATACAAAGCAGACTGCTATGTTAGAGGTTACCAGTTACCTAGCATATGTCAGAATATTTTATTCCAGTTTTATATATGTTTTTGTGTTATAATTGAAAGCCACCTGGAATCCATGGCACACATGCATTTGTTAGCCAATGTAAAAAATAACTAAATATACACAATACACAATCTTCCTAAAAATAACTCCAACAATGTTCGTGTGTTTTATTCTCATTTGTTTTATGCTTTTTTTTTAAAAAAAATCCAGTACTTGCCAAAGACATTTTGCTTCCAGAAAGGAGCCTAAATACTGCCTGCTGTGCACTGCAGCGAACCTCACTAAATCAAAGAACTCTGTAATAATTCTAAATCTACTTCTAGTATATATTAAACTACCCAGGCAAATAAAAACTTTTATCAGTACCCTTTAGTTATTGCAGGTGCGAAGATCCAGCCTTAAAGTGCTACCTTCCTAATTCTAGATATTAGAGCAGATATCTTAGATCAATGATTTCAACAGGCCCTCATGAAAAGTTAAGCAAAATTGGACCTCGTTACTACTTGGATAAGAGAGAACCAAGAAATTTTAGAATTCTACCCTAAAATTCTACACTAGTTCTGTGTTATTGTCAAAAAAAACCCTACATGGATGTATCTATGAAATCACCAAGAGGTGGGTACAATTTGAAAAGGTTTCATCTTTTGATATAGAAAGAGATGGAGTTTTGCATACTCATATTCAAACCAATTTTGGATCTTATATTGTCCATTAACATTCTTTTTCCTATTTTAGCTAGTTTTATAATGATGTCCCTGGAGTGTTTGTAATGTTCAGCCAATCAATCAATCATTTTTTATTCAGTCATAGACCAGCAAATAAAACAAGAAAATCACAATTAATTAGGACAAAGAAGGATTAGAAGAGACACTATACCACACTGTACAAACTATAGTATGGTACTTAGTCATAGTAAAAGGAGTAAAATCATACTGATCTGATAATAACAATTTAAGATAAAACAAGTCATAATAACCAGGATATTTGATAAAGAGTGTCTGTGAACTTTTCAACTGTAAGAAGAAAGCATTGGTGAACTGAAGTAAATGTTTTCTCCCTTCCTTAGGATAGAGCATTTCTGTTGCATAAGACTCCATAATGTTCTGACCCAAATCTGTAGATGGATTAAATGATACCTGAATCTCACTCCAAAAAGCATAAAATGTTGGATACATATGTGTCATGATGACTATCCAAGACCTTGAAATACCTGCTCTTGACTAAAATGGATTTGCAAAAAATACAATGAGATTAATACTGGTATAATTAGTAAATTTAGATCTGTACTTATTAAATTCAATTTGTTTTCACTTTGTAATGGTGTCCATTTGGTATATCCTTAATTTTAGCTCCTGTTACATGAGAATAATGTCCTCTGTTCATAGTATTATAATTACCACGAATCATGTAGTTCTACAACTACATGGTTTTTTTCTGGTCTTTTCTGGTCTTCTGGTCTTTTCAAAGCAAAAGATGTTCATTAAAAATGGAGCTGAGCAAAAGAATAGGGGCTGTAAAATATTGCAAATAGAATTCTTCACATTGGATAAAACCTAGTTTTAGTGATGGAAAATGCTAATTGGACGCAGTTATTAGAAATTAAAGAGTTTAACTTTTTCATTTGTATCTAATTTATCCTTATCACTATTTTCCCATGTGGAAAAGCCTATAATTTCAAAGGTTCCAAATAGACTACATTCTCTTGAATATTATTAATTTGGTGGCAGCATTTCCTAGATCAAAATGTTCTTAGAATATTCTTGGATTAGCTTCCAGTTAAAAACTCTGATTTCTTTTTTAATCCAATCATCATAAATTTTTTACAGTTGTGGCTTTAAGTTGACTAGCAACCTTTCTCTCTTACCGATGGGCAGTGATGGATACATTTGAGTAGGAGGATGGAGGGACTACATATTGCATAAGCCCAATTTATTTGTTTCATCCGTAGAATTGCAACAATTTCCATCTTCATAATCCCACTCTTTAGACTGGATTTACTTTTGCTGCAGCTTCATTATGTTGTTGGCTCTTATTCAACTTGTGATCCACCAAAGTACCCAGATCTTTTTATGTAAGGGAGGGTGTAAATTCCCACTTTGTTATAGCAGCAGTTGTGGTTGTTACAGAAGTAAAATAACCTATCTTTGATATGTTTTTTACAGATAACAAGATTGTCTCCCATTTGCTGGTGGCTGAACCAGAGAAGATCTATGCCATGCCTGATCCCACTGTGCCTGACAGTGACATCAAGGCTCTCACCACACTTTGTGATTTGGCAGACAGAGAGCTGGTGGTCATTATTGGATGGGCTAAGCATATTCCAGGTACATGCTGTGTATCTTACTCAAATGCTATTTTCATCATTTTTATGGCATTATTTTTCAGTGTATGCTTTTGCTATTTCAGTGTGGCTGGAACATGGCTTGCATAATATTTTAATAATTATTACAACAACTGTAAATATGTCTTCAAAGATAGGCTAACATGTTCCATATCTCTAGCCCTTGTGTCCCAGTATACACTTGGTCTAGCCTGTTATCTACGTTTTCCCACTGATCTCTACCTCCAAAGATAAATTCCTATGCCTGGATAGCTCTCAATACATACAATAAGAAAGCCCATTTGACTTTTTTCTGTATGTGAGTTTCTTTGTTCTGTTATATCCTCCCTGTAAAATCTATGCATTATTTTGTTGGGAATCTAGGGGTATCTGGCCAACTGATGGTATGTTTTTAAGGAACATCTAATAAAAGAGCACTTGAATGTTGAAGTATTAAAGTGAACATGGTTTTCTCCAGCTTATCCCACTATGTTATTTCCACCACTTGCAAGAGAGTAGAACAAGTTACAACTGTCCTGCTCACACATTGGTACAACATATTGTTGATACTTCTGTTGGGGTATAAAGAAGGAAGGAATTGAAAATATCCTTATTTAATTTTGAACAAAATAAGAAGGGATCTGTTTAACTCCCACAATGGGGTTTTTTTGGCCACTTGAACATTCAAAAACATGTTAAAGATATGCACAATGTGCATATGCAAGAAAGAATTGCCTTTTTCCATTAGCTGCCTCCACTGGAATCGTGGATGGGGTCTAATGGAAACAGACTCCCTCCACACAGAAACACACTGATACTTCAGATCTGATTTGGGACATCCTTTCCCCCCTAGAGTATTGAGATGCCTGCATGGATATAATAGTTCTCCATTCCCTTAACTGCTTAGTGAATTAATAGACCGGACAGTTTGCAGAGCTGTCATTTTTTTTTCTTTTCAAAGATCTTAAATTCAGGAGGTGAGAAGACGAAAAATGAAATACCTATTCATGCCTCAGCTAGATGAAAGGCTGAATTTGTGCATTTCACTCAGTGCCCTAAAATAGCTATAGCGTTCCGCTTCCATCTCTTCAGACTGTTTTTTTTAAAGAAGAAAATAACAAGCTTAATTTTATAATAAACTCTATAGTGAAGCAGTTTTGACTTTTTTCAAACTTTATGTGATATCTAGCCCACTTTCAGAGCAATCATCTTCCCACTCAGAGATGGTTCAAAGTTTCTTGCAGCCCGAGGCAAAGCAGCAGAGGGCACTGTTGGCGAGTTTGATTTTGAAGTGTGCTTGGAGACAACCAAAGAGAGTATTTTTACTGAGTTTGTTGCCATGAGCATGGAGTTCCCTTGGTCCATGGAGGGTTCACAATTCACCTATAATTCAGAAGCACTCCTATACAAAAGTTGTGGTATCCATGATAAGGTTGCTTGAGCTTTTCAGGTCTATAGAAGAGACCTTTTTCTTATTCTACCACCCCTAGAGTTACATGGAAAAGGAATGATGGTTGCTATCAGATTTTGCAGCTAACTGCCAAGGCAGCATAGTTGAGTTCCCACTCTGTTATCCTTCTGCAAGCAGGCAATAAAATAAAATTAATTTAATTTAAAAATCAGGTAGGCCTTTGGGAGATAAGCAGGACTGACTGTTAATGTCAGGTTTAATTTATTGGGCATGGTCTGTTTTACTGATAGGTTTTAACTGTATCTTTACTTACAAAGATTTTGACCTTGTGCAAAGGTGTAATCAAAATTCCTGTATTGCTGCTTCTATAATTTTTGCAATACTTTGTTATATCTTTTCAATCCCTGATTGTTCAGATCTTTTTATTAGCTATTTATTTGTGGACCAGAATTCTATATTTTAATTGGAAGTTGTGATATTTCTTTGGTCTATTTGTCAAGCATTCTGTTTCAGAAAGAATGAGATGAATTTAAATAGAATAAAATACGTTTGTTAAGGATTATGTTATTTAATTTTATTGGGATTTTATTACTATCGTTTTTGTTGTTTATTGAGGATATGAAGTGACTCTAGTACAACTAGTACAAAATAGTTTTTATTTTTTATTACTACATCTATTGATGTCTTTTTATTTTATTTTCCAAATACATTCCCCATTTAATTCCAATCTACTCCATAGAATAAAAACACTATTTGGGATAGCATAGCTGTAAATTGGGGGAGGGGGGGGGAAGAACTTCTAAGTGTTATAAATATTTGCAAAAGCAAAACAAAAGACAAATCCTTCCTCCTTCCTATTCAAAAACACACCTCTTGTCTGGAATAAAAAGTTTCTTACAAACTGGATACAATTTAAAATTAATCTACTTGATAATTTTGATTTGATTTCTGGGGGCAAAACATGTAGAGAACATTATCTACATTGTCATGTCATAGCATGACATGCTTTTGTTATCAACATGACCTAGTTATATGGCTTTCCATGTTGCATGGCCTACTGTGACTAGAGGCTTAGTATAGGATGTCCATCTCATCCTCTCTGATCAAGGGTATCTCATGGATGACAAATTTCTTCTGGGAAAAATGCATGCTCTATTCTGTGATTCTTTAATAGAAACTGGTGTGTATATGTAAATAGTTCTCACTCATTTAAGATAATTGCATTTATCCTTAGAATTTCAGTACATAACTGAGAGTTTTGCATGTAGCTTCGCTTCTGATGCTTTTTTCATTTATTTGTTTGTTTTCTCTTTAGGGGCACCTAAATGCTGATCTAGATAACGGCCCCTTGCCACTGAAATGAAAACAATATAAAATAGAATTCTCAATTATTTTAATTATTTTCTGAAACCAAAGGCTAAACAATTATTAATATACATCTAAAACATAATTGGATGGGATGGAGACAGCTCTGAGCTGCTCCATGTTTTCTTCACTGTAGAAATTTAGTTGTTCAGAGTTTGCTTCACCAATGGCTTATAAACGAGCTTTTGAATCATGAGCAATGTTTTTCTGGTACAGTTAACTTATTTCTGTCTCCTTAAACTAGTTTGTCTTTATGCTTTGAATGCTACAGTAATTTCTTTAATCAAATTGATGGAAGCCCCTTTCCCAGCCCACACTGAAACCAATTTATTGGTCATGATACACCAGCTATGTTACTAACAGACGTAACGAACTGTCAGGCAATATCGCAGTGAAGCTAATTTGAAGTCATTAGGTGTGCAGCGTTCAGGCAACAATTTGTTACAGTGGTTAGGAACACAGCTGACATTTCTGAATGGCTTTGTTCAGAGTAGGTCTAGATGAGCCCAAGCAAATTGTAAACTAATTTAAACATCACTCTGTATTATACTAGCTACTTTGTCTTACACTGGTTGCTAATAAAGCACCCCAGATTAAGTCAAAGCTAGTTAAATAGGTGAGTTTGAGTTTCAACTCTAGACAATGCCTATGTCAGTCTTACCGATAAGTAGGCATTCTCCCTAGAGGCCAGTCAATAATGCATTTTGGGGATTGCAAAATATATTTATCAATTTGATTTATATTAGGAATACAATACAGGGCTGAGATTTGTTTATAGGATAGAAGAAAGTAACTGAAAGACAGCAGAGAACCACAGCATAGCTAGTTAGCAGTGATCTGTTGGCTGGTTTAGACATTCTCAATTACAGATTGGGAATCAGAAATAGTTTTGAGCTATTGAGGAATATTTAAACAGGAGACAGTTCACAGTAATCCATTGGCTGATTTATTATGCCCATTTGATGGAAATTAAAAAATAATGAAAAGCTGCTGGATTTTTTTTAATAACAAAAGAACAGAATAATTCAACTATATTTGTGTGTGTATATGTGTGTGTATTATATATATATGGATGCCTTCTGTATGAAAGATAATTTTCAAAATGTTTCACAGTCAGATACTTTACAAAACACTCATCATTTATTTAGAAATTTGCACATTGCTTTTTAAGTAAGGGTATTTACAACATAGTATACACATATATTCTTATGTGTACCTAATATGTGTATGCTACAAATGCACACTGCATACACTAGTATACATATGCTATTGAGATAACATTGTTAATTTTTATGATAAAAATTAATCTATTCCATTCTATACATAAAGTTTAATAGAACATTCATAGATAGGAAGATATAAGATTGGAGCTAAAGGTATTTAATAGCGTGTCATTTGTATCTAAAGGATTTTGACTTTAAAAATTTGAACTTAGAAGAAATATCTGTATCCCATAAAAAATTGATCTACTTTTCAAGTTTGCAACTGAAAATTTTGAATGATTGTTTCTAGTTTATTTGATCTTATTAAATATGTGCCTGTGCCATAAATTCCATTAATAGTTTCGTGCTTCTGTAACTTGCATGTACAATAAGCCTTTCTGTTCTTCTGCAGAAAAATGTAACATTTATATATGAATTGATAGGCTTTATCAGCCACCGAATTAGCTTAGTTGCATTAATAAATCAAAGAAATGAAAAGAGTGGTTGCTGTGAAACATGACCGTGTCTTATTTGCAGAAGAAAATGATCATGATAGCACTAAGAAATTCTTGACTTGAGAGGAGAGTAAAGGCAGAAGAACAGATGAGGGTGCCCTAATAGCCCTTTTTAAGAATGACAGGGCCCTACCATTAGCATCCCTTTATATCTTTGGAAATTGCTCTTGCCTCGCTATTCTGGTTCCTATCTGCCTGACTCTTTTTTTATTTCTCTTTCAATTTCATCCGCGCTCGGATAAGCGCATGCTAACACAATATGATTGAGCTGTAAAATGGAACGCTGTCGCCTCTAATCTCTTTTATGTAGATATGGAGGTTCTTCCAAACTCCACTTCATTCTTTCTCCATTGTTGGCCTTTACAGAATGTAAAGTAATGGAAACTCACACTGTCAAATATTAGAGCTAGGTTCGCAGAGGGTGATAAGAAGATTATCAGCCCAGCAGTCAGATCTATTGTTGCCCTTTATGTCAGATTAAAATATTTTTATGTACTGTAACTCAGTTAGT